CGAGAGTGACAGAAAATGCTCAGGAAGTTAGAGCACTTGGTGTGGGGAAGGGAACCAGCTAGCAGGCAGAAAGCTTGTCTATGGCTGGACTGTATAGTCAAGCCAGTCAAGCTAGGACAGATTTTCTGATGACCACAGGAAGAGAAGAACCTAGGAAAGCTATGAGAACTCCCTCACCTTCTGGGCAGAGTAGAGACCCAAGGAGAGTCTGCAGGGTGGCACGGGGGTGGAGGATGGGGACACAGTATAGAGGTGAGGCTACTCCTGCCTGTTCCGGGGCCAGGAGCTCACCCCCAGATTGCAGAAGATCCATGGTGGAGAGCCACAGAGGTGCAACAAGGCCTCCAGTCACAGACACCTTTCTGTGTTTGCGACCGACATAAACCCTAGTGCAGAAGTCACCCCTCATGGATGGGAAGGCCACCGTGCTTTCTGCCAGCACATACCTGCCCTGTTGGCCAGCTGTTGTGACCAGGAGCCAAAGGTCCCACCTGGCACACACTAGGCCCAACCCCCACCTTCCTTTCGCTGTCCATTTGGGCACAGATAAAGGTTAGTTCCAGAGGTCTAGCAGCCACTCCAGGCAGGACACTTGGGTCGCTGGCCCTTTGCAGAGACTTGTCACCTGCGTTAATCACCCAGCTGTGCAGATGAAACAATAGAAAAAGTGACTTTGGTGTTTGCGTGGGCTCTGTCCTAGAGTTTTTTACATGGTGCTATATGATGTAATGCGCCCACTTAGTCTTCCAAGAGGGCCCTAGCTAAAACCAGAGACCACTCTGGGCCCTTTAGGAAGGGCTGGAGCAAGCCTGGGAAAGCAGAGCCACAGGCTAGACTAGCAGCTTTTACAGTGGTGGGTGTGGGGAGGTCAGAGGCCTGAGGCATGTTCAGTGCAAAGTCCACTCTGGTCAGTATGTCTGCTGCCCAGTGAGCCGCACCGGGGTCCCACAGGAAAAGGTAGTCAGGGACACGGGAATGGCCCTTACCTTGGGCAGCAGTTTTAAGCACATGACTTGGCAGGATGCCCCAGACCCACAAATGTTGGATTTTAAACCTAGCCCAAAACATCATGGGAGGACACAGCAGCACGTGAATGGGAGCCGTGTGCCTTTGCCTTTTGGGTATTTGTTAAGTGTTAGAGACTAACTTGTGAATTATTTTCATTACTCATATTCACCTTTGAATTCACTTTATGTTCCTTTTTTTCCCCCCACTTTTTATTCTGGGGATTAAACCCGGGTCATGTGCACACATCAGACCTTTGAGCCCCCCTTAGCCTTCCTGAAGAGGCCCTAAGTGTTAGGAACCTAGGAAATACTTACAGGTGGTTTGGGTTCACAGTGCTGCTCGAGGTGGGGGTGGAAGACAGCCTCCTTAGCCAGCAGCTTCCCCACGCAGGAGCAGTGGGATGACTCAAACAGGCACCAGCACTGTTGTGGGTGGTTGGGGGACGTCATGACAATGCCCTGCTTTTAGAACACATCTCTATATCCTTCATGTCAGAGAATGGAGCCCTGTACTATGGATTGGAGCCAGCCTACCTGGGGCAGGAGCAGTGCTTTGTACGTGGCATAGGGTACACACCAGCTGCTGGGGGGTCATTAAGGCAGGAGACTTGCTTGAGCAACAGAACAGAAAGGGAAGTAGCAGGGAGAAGGGAGGGGAAAAGATGGAGCGAGAGAAAGAATGGTCCAGCTGCTCTCCCACTGCCCTTGTCGGCCTAGGCATGAAGTTGGCCGCTTCAGTATTCCAAGTTGGTGGTAACAGTTAAAGGGAAAGTTTCAGGGCTGTGGGTTAACTAGAACCCTGTGGGGATGTAAAGTGTGGCCATGCAGATATAAAAATGTAATGTTTCCTGTGTGTCCCAGTAGCTCCAAAGAACCCAAAGCAGGATGTGTAGGCTGCAGTGAGCAGCCATAAGAAGGCATCAGCCCCGGTGCCCACACAGAAGAGTGGGTTGTGTGAGCGTAGGAGCTGGGGCTGAAAACGGGTTCTCCCGCCCAGCCACATCCCAGCTAGCCCTCCTGGATTGTCACCTTTCATGTCGAAATTAACGCTCTGAGAATCTCAAGTCTTGCCACTCTAGGCCAGCATGCTGGAGAGAGCAAGTGCTCAGACAGGTCCCTTGACATGCACCAGACAGGTGGGGAGTGAGCTCTGTCCCATCTCCAGGTCAACTAGCGCCAGCAGGGTGTAGCTGAGACAAAGTGTCCTGCTCAACCCTGACCACAACAGACCAGTTCAGATTTTCAACAAAGTTGCCACCAGAGAAAGGATGGTCTCCAGTGAGAAGAAGAGCAGCAGCCCACACACGCAAGACCAAGACTTACACCCTGAATCTATAACCAGGTGACAAGCAGGGTGTGTACAGAGAAGGGCAGCCATGAGGTGAGCTGCAGAGTGGGGCCTGATGTTGACAGGTGTCAAATGGGAGAGAAGCTCGGCTTGCCCCGTGTACCCACACACAAAACAATAGCACATCTGCCCCGCAGATACCACTGAATGTTTTGTATACAATAGCACCAAAATTTTTTTAATGAATTAACTACCTGACTAGATGGTTCTCAGATGATGTAGAAGGACCAACAGGCAAGAAAATGCTGGAAATACAAACCAAAGCCACAATGCTACACCAGCTCCCCTGTTAGCTGTTTTAACAGGAGACTGGAGCCTTAACCACGTGGATGGGGTGTCAGCTGGTACAGTCATTTGAAAACAACACTGTAGACAGAAGCGTGAACAATTCGCCAGAAATGCAGTTCATGTCTTCAGAGACACCTGCCTGTCTATACTTGGAGCACTGTTTGCAACAGCAAATACCAACCAGTGTCCATCTGCAGATGAGTGCCTAAAGAACTCAGAGTTACACGATGGTGTGTTGGTTATCCCTAAAAGAGGTTTAAATCCTATCCTTGAGGCAACAAGGTCTTGTTAGGTGAAATAGGCCAGGCACAGAGACAAATGCGGCATGGCCTCATGAAGCTGTAAAAGCCAGCTTCCTCGTGGATTTGAGAGCGGTGTCATGGAAAACGGAGAAGAGGCTGGTTGGTAGGTGCTAAGTCAGACATTCTCAAACTACGTATTTACATCTTTTGTCCCGATTGCTCTTTTCATTTTAAATCCGCATAAGAGTAATTTCTAATAACCATGTGACCGTCATAACTAAGCTGTCTTCAGTCTCCTCTACCATTGTCATTAGCCCAAAATTCTTGAATGTAGTCTCAAGCAGATTTTTAGGACAAGGGCATAAAGCACCCACATTTGCCAAAATATCACAAGGATGGTCTCTAGCCAAGTTGCCAATACTGCTTCCTCCACTTCGCTCTCAGCATCACTATGTTCCACACTCCTGCTGAATGGCTTAGCTGAGCGCACTGCTTTTCTTATCCACTGTCCAAACAAGCAGCATGGTCAGGGTTGTCAAAGCGACACCCTAGAGCCTGGTGCCAGCTTCTGTCTCAGTCACTGTACTCAACTGTGCTGTGAAGAGACACCATGACTAAGGCAGCTTAGATAAAAGCATTTAATTGGGGGCTTGCTTACAGTTCAAGGTCCCTGTCAATCATGGCAGGAAGGATGGCTGCAGGCAGGCATGGTGCTGGAGCAGTAGTTGAGAGCTTACATCTTGATGGGTAGGGGACAGAGGGTGAAATGGCATGGCCTGGCAAAGGCCTTTGAAACTACAAAGTGCTTCCCCAGTGACATACCTCCAGGCCACACCTCCTAACCCTTAAACAATCCAACAACTGGGAATCAAACATTCAAAATATAGGAGCCTATGGGGGGCATTTTTATTCAAACCACCACAGGAGAGTTCTGTCTATATCCCAGTGGTGGAACGCAGTAACCAGCTGAGGGCACCATTTCAAACCCTGTATGTGACCGCTTCCATAGCAAGTTATGCTTAAGGTACTGGACAATGTCCTGCCTTCAGCTGTGGTGGTGCAGGGCTCACCACATTTGTGTCTCCCCAGCCTGATCTGCCTGGGGTGGGCTCTCCAGCTCTGGTGAGGTAATCAGGGGAGACATGGGACGCCAACTCACCTGCGTTTGCCTCTGCTGGTGTGGATGAGGTTTAATGGTGATGTCAACCTTTCAGAAACAAAACAGATGCTTTGCCTGGCTGCAGCTGTAGCTTACACTCCTACAGAGAAAAGTGGAAACTTGACAAAGCACGGTGGTAATCATTTTCTGCAAACTGGAACTCTCCATCTGCTATTGTATGGAGGCTGGCAGCATCCTCATCTGGCCAGAAGTAGCCTGAGAAAATAAGACCTGAACGACATGTGACGTTCTGTGGTTTTCCTGCTGCTGGTGCCCCTCAAGGCTGGCTCTGTCAAGGGGCTCCTGGTCTGTTCTCCCTCTGAGCTGATGCAGAGTAAGCCCCACAAACTCACAGCATAACCCATGGGCAATCTGGTCCCACTTTAGGGACCAGCCAGGCAGGGCTCCCCATACCTCTAGATCTTACTCAGCTCTGCTCAGCTGTCACTTTGGGAGTCTGCCAGGTCAGACTGAGGAAAGTGAACAGGAACTGGGTATAGGGTCCCGTGGGACACACCAAGTGGGACACACCTGACTCCCACTGAACTCTGCAGTGACCGTGTTCGTCCTTAGTTGAGCAAGGTGCTGGAGAAGAGGGCCCGTGAGTGGTGACAGGCGGAAAGCTGAGGCAGGAGACGTTAGTCACCAGCTCCCAGATGTCCAAAGATGCAGCTGGAAGCTGAAGCCACTCAAAGGGACAAGGAAGTGAGTAAAATGGCATCAGCTAGGCCACAGGGTGACTACAGAAGGTGCCACAGAGCTGAAAGGGTCACTCCATCCTAAAGGAGGTGGTGCCAGGGTGGGCTGACCTCATGGCACAGGAAATGGTTCAGAGCAGACAGCAGAGGAGGGCTGGGACAGGGTGATGGGGAGCCAAGAGAGCCCTGTGGCAGAGACAGGGCTGGGGTCCTGGAGAGACCTGGAGGGGCTAGACATGGACAAAGTAAGGCACGAACTCGGGCATAGAAGTAGTGCTTTATTTCTGCAGTGAGCCCACAGTGGCATTGCACACACAGTGAACTGAGGGTCGCAACACAGCTTGCCAAGTGAGGATGCCACACCACCTCAGGGTCACAATCCAAACACTGCCATGGGAACTTCCTCAGAGAACCATGCCCAGGACTAGCCTGATCCCCTGTCTAACCTTCAAGAGACCCTTGGAGGAGTATGGGGACAGCACTTGCAATCTCCACTGGCTCAGGAATGGTAGCCATGGAGGGGAAGTGGCTTGTCTTCTCTGGAAAATCCAGTCCACACAAATTTGGTCAGAGTGGCTTACGGGCACTGCCTATTGCCACCTATGGGGTGCTGTCACCCACCCTCACTCCAAAGGCAAAACCCAAGACAGTCACCTTGCTTTCCCAAGCACTGGGGACAGCTGTGGAGGTATAAAGTGGCCTTGGGGACATCAGCCCCAGGCCAGTCTAACAAGGAGCTACCTAGCTCTCAGGCCATGTTTGGAAAGCCATCCTGAGACCCAGAGCCTGAAGCAGCCACCAGGGGCTGTGGGACTCTACATCGCCAGCCCAGCTTTGACCATACCTTGTCTCTGGCTGTAACCCATGGGAGTCACGGATAGTACCCCACTTTTCAGGCGTATACACTGTGCTGGTCTCCTGAATGGGCAGGGAACCCTGCTTTGCCACCTCCAAAGTCGTAAGTACCACTGTCACCGAGAAGACATTAATCACAAGTTACAGGGGTGATCACGTCCTTGGTTGGGGGCAGGAACTATCTGTCCAGAAGCCCCACTCAGCTTGACCTCTAGCGGCAGAGGCTGGAAAGCAGGGGTAGGGTGGGGACAGAAGAGGAATGTGTGGTGCCACAGACCCAGGTCAGAAGTGGCTCTGCCAGGGAGGCCCTGCCCTGCCTGCCCACTAGACTGAAAGCTTACTCTGGAACAAGCATTATTCCTGTACATCTTTCAAAGTGAAGGACAAGAAAGGGACAGGGAGGAGCAGATGGCGGGGGTGGGGAGGGGGTTCTTCCTTACCCTAGGGAAGTGAAGTGCAGCTCACACAAGCTCATGGCCTCTTGTTCACCCAGTGCGAGGGATGCCCAAGCCCCATCCAGAGGAGCACTGGATGCATTCCAGCAGCCTGTGGCCAGTCCAGCCACTCCTCTCCCTCCTGGTGACTCCAGAACCCTGAACATTGGGTGCTCCACTTGGTAGCACAGGGCACTGTAGTGCCTAGGGCCGCTAATAAGCGCTCCCCTCCTGCCAGAGCCGTTATCAGGGTAAACACTCAGAATCAATGATTATGTTGCAGAACAACCAGAGCATGGCCAGTGTCCGCAGTGCCAGGTCACCTCAGCACTGCTACGAGGCTCCATTTACCATGCAGGGGGCAAGGTGACAGACTAACATAGCAAACCAAAGCTTAACGAGGAACATCCCAGGAGGAGGCAGTCCTCTGCCCTGGCACCTTTGTTCCCATCCAGAGGGACATCTGTAGTCCTACGCCGGGCTGAGCCGCCTCAGTTGAGGCCAAGCAGCCTCAACACACCAAGCCCCACTTTGGCCATAGATTTCACCCTCTTTCTGTGGCCCTGCAGAGGCCGTGGTTACAATTCTGTTATCTTCTAAGTTAGAAAGAACTGGAGATTGGCTGGGTTAGCTGTGCACTCTAGTCTGACAATTGTGGAGATGGCTTAACTACTGAGCAATTTCTTAGACAATTCAAAACTCATGAGGTTGGGGAAGGAATCAGCCCAACGGACACGTCCCTCTCTCGCTGAATTTCCTTTTCTAGTCTTCTAGGAACAGAACACTTGTAATTGCCCGGAATCGACACTTCATTTAATAAAAGTGGAAAGTGACAGTTGAAAGAGCCCACATCTGTAACAGGCTTGGAACTCCACTAAAAGAAGAACAGGAAAAGTACCGAGGGCTTAGGAGATGCTCAGTCCCAGTGTGAGGCCGCCTCTGTGGCTGCCTGGAGCTGCTGTACGGAGCCCAAATGGTCCCAGGAGCCCCTGTGGATGACACTGAACTCTTCTTCCAAAAGTCCTAATGCGAACATCTGCCATCCTAAAGAACATGATCTAAAGGAGCGCAAGAGGCTCTGCAGAGCCCAGGTGACCTAGAAACAGGTGCCCTTTCACAGCTGGCATTGCCAGGGGCATCAGGCAGCAGCCACACTCTCCAGCAGTTGACCTTAGGGGAGGGCAGGGCTGAGGGAGCAATGGCTCACAGTGCCTCTGTCCCCTATGACTGTGGCTCCTTGGCACCCAACAAGTCCTCAGGGTCAGAGTCCACCAGTACAGTGCTACCTAATAACTGTAAACCCAGAACTCAGGGTGCTGAAGCAGGAGGATTGCCCTGAGTGTGGCCAACCTAGGCTACACAGAGAAGAACTATCTGAAGCAAATAACTGAACAAGAACAAGACGAACAAGCCTCATGCATTATCCTCCAAAGGTAGAAATTCCACCCTCCACAGGATGGGGTTCCTTGTGCACTGGCAGGGGGTGCTGCTTGTAGAGATGTTGAGTGGACAGACAGTTCTCCAGGCTGACTAGCAGCTGGGCTGGGGCTTTGGGCAGCACCCCATAAACAATGGCTGCACCCTATCCACACACAGGAGCCTCCTACCTGATGCAGCCATACCACACAGCAGTGAAGCCAGAGGTTCGGACTGTGGACTAGTCTCCCTCAGGACCAGCTTTGCACCCTAGGCCTGAACGCCTAGGAAGATGACCCCCACTGCAGCCTGTGGCCTCATGCTGCCACCTCTTCAGTGTGGACAACCCATTCCAAACTCAGAGAAAGCTGGCTGACCCATCCTTTCACTTCTAGAGCAGGACCCGACCTGACGCTCCACCCTCTCTGAACATGCTCACAGGAAGTGCTAAGGAGACCTCATGGGGTCTCAGGATGCAACAGGGAGGTGCAGAGGCAGGAGCTATACATGAGCATGATAGTGGGAGCTGCAGCAGTTAAAAAAGGAGGCCCCTAAGAATCTGCTCTTCACCATCCCAGGCCTGTGCTCCTGACACCCCATCTGTTGGCTGAACAAGCGCAGCCGAGCCACGAGGCCCGCAGAGTCAGCCTAGGACTGGGCAGCGTCTGTCTTCAGGTTTCTGAGCGGTCCTCCAGCAGCTGGCACGGCCACTGCTTCCAGGCTGCCTCCCAGGCTGGCAATTTGATCAATTATTAACTCTAGTGTCCAAAGATTGGTTTGCACATTGTGTGTCTGGTTGAACTTCGAGGATTTTCCTGGTCAGGCTAAGTGTCATGATGAGCCGCATCTGGTGTCATTTAGGAGGGGCAGCTTCTGCTCTGCCCATGTGCAGGCACTGGAGACTGAGGACCCTTGCAGCTGCAGAGGGCCAGAGCAGTTCCACAAGGCTGCAGCAGCCATGACGCAGCAGCTGAGGACAAACTACATGACTGTAAATCACCAAGTAGCAATGCAGAGGCAATGGGCGCCACAGTGGGGACACTTGGGCATGGGCCCTTTTCTGGTTGTCAAGGCCTAGGGTTCCTTCTTGTACTGAGCTTGGCTTGTCTCTAGATTCCTTCTGCACTGGTACCTTGGTGACATGAGAGGTAGGAATTGACGGTGGACTTGGAGAATCGAGACCCATTTCCTCCCCCTGAAGACTACCTGAAGAGTGGGGAGAACATGGGTGCCCTTCTGTCCCCTGGGGGAAAAGCCTGGTTGGGGTGGCTTTTGCAGCCGGGTCTGCTCCTCCCAGAGATGGGGGAGGGTGCTGCACACAGGGCCTGCCTGGAGGGCACACTGCTGCCCACCCAAGTCACACCGCGTCCTCTGCCTTCTTTATTGGTACTGTTGGTTGGGTGAGCGCGAGTTGGGGCCCGGACTCGGGGGCAGTGAGCTGGCGCTGGGTGCTCGCAGTGCATGAGGGTCGAGCTGCTGACTGGGGGTATTGGGGTCCCCTGTCCCCGGTTCCTCACTGCTCTCTTCTTTCTGGCTGCTCTGCTGCTCTGGACACTCAAAGTGGACACAGTGGAACACCTGGTGGGAACAGAAAAGACAGTGAGATATGGCCCCGTCTGAGCCTGGAGGTTTGAGCCACGATGATGGCACACGCTGGTGTGCTGGGGAAGTGTGGGAAATCTCCCAGCGCCCACCTCACTCCTTGCCTGTCTCAGACACCTGGAAGCAACAAGAAGGTTTTAGATGTGTGGTCGATCATGATAAATGCAAAAAGATGGACGATTCTAGAGTTACAAAAGTCCAGCATGGGTGTCTCGGCACTGCCCAGGCTGGAACACTCGGCAGTGGTTTTTCTCCTTGGACCTCTTCTTCTCTTTTGGATCATCCTTTTTAAAAAAAAAATTTTTTTTTGATATTTATTTATTTATTATGTATACAATATTCTTTCTACGTGTATGCCTGAAGGCCAGAAGAGGGCACCAGACCTCATTTTGGATGGTTGTGAGTCACCATGTGGTTGCTGGGAATTAAACTCAGGACCTTCGGAAGAGCAGGCAATGCTCTTAACTGCTGAGCCATCTCTCCAGCCTTTAAAAAATATTTTTAAGGGAGAAGGGGAAGGAAGGAATGAGGGAGAGACAGAGGGATGGAGGGCGGGAAAGAGGGAATGAGGGAGGGAGAGAGAAGAAAGGAGGAAGGGAGGGAGGGGGAGAAAGAGTGGAGAGCTCAGTGAATTCTTTTAAAATATAACTAGATTTTTTTCCAGAATTATGAAACTGTGTTCAAGTTTCCTGGCTAAAAGCTTTCCATAATTGCTCTCAGCTCCAGCTGTGTCATTCTAAATTCTCTTTTCTCAGTCAGGCCTTCCCTTCAGGAAGCTGAGGCGGGAGCATCTCGGGCTAGGCAGGCTGTCTTTGCTCCCTCTGAACAGAGCGAGAACACCAAGCCCTAACTTAATTGACACGGCTCCCCCTCCTGCCTCTCTTGCTCAGGCACCTTCCTTCTCTCAGGACATCCTGGGCTCTGCAGGCCTGTGCTGCTCAGCCCTTCTGCCCTGACGAGAGCAATTAGATCAATAAAAACCTAAACTGAGAAAGAAAGTTGCAAGAACCATGGGTGGCTCTGCCTGTGCTAGAGAGAGCCTGCGGCTGTGCACACCAGGCCTGGCTCCCCACCCTCGCTGCCCCTTCTACTGGTCTCACTTCACCCTGCATTACGTCTGTTTGACTCACAGGCCACTGTGTCCAACTGCGCCGTCAGGGTCACATGCAAACGATGCTTCCCAGCACCCCAGTGCTGTCTTCCTGGGGTCTACTCATCCACAAGGGCCATACCCAGCTATCTGACAGGCCCACACAAGTCACGTGAGTCTACTTGAATTAAAGACCCAGGCTGGGGAGTTCTTAAAGACCCAAGCTGAACCTTCCAGCATGAGTCCTGGTGACCCTGGGAGTTGCAAGGTCACATAATGACCAGACATAAAGAACCAGGGCTTCTGAGAACCACTGCAGTCTGTGACCCCTGACTCCCAGCTGACCCCTGCAAACCCTGAGTCCTACAGGCTTCCTTGGTCAGGGTGGCATACAGGATGCCATTCATTTACTAAGTCACAGCGCCAGACAGAAACACCACAGATGCATGGTGTGCACATGAAACTGGAGGCAGGCAAGCAGGCTCAGAGTGAGTGACAGGTCAGGGAGGAACAAATGTGACATATGCCTTTAGGGTGACGGTGTACAACTCTAGGTCAGCTTCTCTCAGAGGAGCCAGGGCATGCTGGGACAAGCCAGGCCCCTGAGCACACAATGACCAGCAGCCCAGGAAGTCAGCGGAAGGATCTGAGGCACAAGTTAGGAAGGACAAGGTGGCCTTGCAGGGCAGGATTGGGAGAGGTTGCACTCTTGCTTAACTTCTGGGAACTAAAGAATGAGGAAAGGGGGGCTGGAGAGATGGCTCAGTGGTTAAGAGCACTGACTGCTCTTCCAGAGGACCCGGGTTCAGTTCCCAGCACCTACAGTAGGGCAGCTCACAGTTGTCTGTAACTCTAGTTCCAGAGAATCTGGAATGCACATGAAATAAAGTTAAATAAAGTTTAAAAACAAAAAAAGAACGAGAACAGTGTGTGTGGGGGTATGTGTGTGTGTAGGTGTGTATGCGTATGTGTAGAGCAGGAGCTCAGGGGTGTGTGTGTGTGTGTGTGTGTAGAGTAGGAGCTCTGGGCCTGAGGTGCAGAAATTGGCTGACAAGATCAGCAGTCCCTGCTTGACCTGGAGCTGCAGCTAGAGACTTCTCGACATGGTAGACTCCTGCGAATCAAACTTCTATAAAGAGATTACAGAAGAAACACGTGTGTGCTGACACGTTCAGATACTGTGCTTAAAGAAAGCTGGTGAGAAACCTTCAGTACTCTGGGCAAAGCAGCTATTTACAGTTGGTAGGAAAACTGAAAGGAAGAAAGAAAAGGAGCCCGGAACAGTGGTGACAACGGGTCACACTGACAGGACAGCAATGGTCCTGCAGCGACCCTTAGACTCTCGGATCTGGGGCGGGCATGAGCGCTCCAGATGGCCCCACGACCAGCCTTTGTTCTTTCAATGGACAGCAACTGCTGAGCCCAACTGTGACCTAAGGGGCAGCATGCCATGCTGGGGTGTCCTCACCATGGAGAGGGGCAAAGGGAAACTGCTAGCGTACTGGGGTGCCTACCACACGCAGGGTCCTGACATGAGGCAGTGTCAGGAGCACACGATGCCTGGAATGGACCTTAGGGAGCACGCCAGAGAAGTGTTCCCTATAATACAGAGAAGACTGCATATATCAGGCCCCAAAGACCTGGGAGGCCCACTCACACTGGGCACATGCAAGTCCAGGTCTGGCCCTAGAACCTCACTCTGGCAGTTGCCTGTCTGTCAACTGTGCCTGGCTCAGTTCCCAGCCCAGGCCAGGCATATGCACCCAGTTCCCACTCTACCCAAGATGCTTACAGACACCATGTGGATGCCATGGTACCTGCAGTTCTCCAGCATCACCATGGGCAGGGCAGGGCAGGGCAGGGCAGGGCAGGGCACTTTCTCCAGGACCCCAAACACCTTCCAGTTTGTACACTTCTCAAATGGAAGTGAAACCCTGTCCACTTCAGGGCAGCCATGCAGCCATGCTCGTCCTGAGGCTGCACACAGTCAGTCTCACAGAGACCTAAGGGAAGGTGGCTTTCTGCTTTAATGGCTTGGGCAAGTGGGACTCTCACAGAGGGCCCAACTCACCATGTTCCTGCACCCATCCCTCCTCCTCCCCTCTTTCTACCACGCACTTATAGGCCTCGCATGAGATGAAATGACCAAGCTCTGGCTTTCTCTTTGCTTAGGAGCTGGTATGATTCCATTTCCTTCCTCCAAGCCTTCCCCAGGCTGCAGTGTTCCTTGGAAAGGAGGTGACAAAAGTGAATGAGGCGAACCGGGCAGAGCCACACTTCTGATTTATGCAAAGCCATTACCATGGTCTCTGCATCATTTTCCCTTCAACTTTTCAGCAATCGTGTATCCCATTAGCCTGTTTGATTGCTGCTGTTCGTGAAGGGGCACCTTCGCTGAACCGTCTTCAGCAGCCTGGGATCTCTCCCCCTAGAGGAGCGGCCAATTTGCAATGTAGTCATGTGTATGAATCAGGCCCAGCCTTCCTCACACTCGGGTGGCCTTCCTTGCGGCTGCTGTTATTATCACGTTGCCAGGCCTCTGTGGGAGCTCTAATCCTGGACGTGTCTGAAAGGGTCTGGCACACTCCTTCCTGTGAGCCGTGCAGCAGGTGTGTGCCGTCCTGCCCTTCAGAGCTATGGTCCCAGGCACCAGGGGCAGACTTAGGGTTTGCACAGAAAGGGAGGGGAGAAGTAGTGGGGAGGGGCTATCAGCCCAGTATGAACTGTAATAGATATTGGGGGGAAAGGAATAAATACTGATCAATGACTCCACCTTGCTTCTGTGGCTTCTGGGTAGTTTGCACAGACCACTCCCCTGCCAACCTGACTTGTATTTCCAAAGTGACGGTCTATATAAAGTAGATAGCCAGCTTCCTCCCACTGGCTGCCCATAAGTAAGATGGAGGCCTGAGGACTGTCTCCCTTCACCCCAGCATAACACCCATCACCATGCCAGATGGTAGCCAGTCCAGCTACGGCAGCCAGGGAGCTCTCCCTGGAGCAATCCAGATACAGACCACAAACAGCTTGTTTGTTTGCTCCTTTTAAACAGATCAAAGTGCTGGCACATACCTGTAATCCCGGAATTTAGGGAGCTGAAGCGGGCGGGAGATGGTGAGCTAGAAGCTAGCTTGCTATGTTGTAAAAATCTGTCTCTAAAAACCAAATTGATCAACCAAACAACAGTCCAAATCAAGAGTAGGAAGGACAGGACACCGCTTCCCATACAGCGCACTGTCGCAGGTGCGGTTCTCCGAGCTGTGTAAAACCCAAGTAACAAGTGCTGTTCTAGTCTCCGTCCTATTGCTGGGAAGCCACCAGGACCAAGACGACTCTTGGAAAGGAAAACATTTAACTGAGGTTGGCTCACAGTGTCAGAGGTGTAGATGGTTGTCATCATGGTGGGGAGCACCATGGTGGGGAGCACCATGGTGGGGAGCACAGCAGCAGACCTGCCGCTCACTAGAGCAGGGGTTGATCCACAGGCAGAAAGCGGCAGGCTCTCTGTGTCCCCAGGGACACATTTCCTCCAACAAGGCCACCCCTCCTAATATTTTAACCTTTCAAACACTCACTTCCTGGTGACTACGTGTTCAAATATAGGAGCCTATGGGGGACATTCTTATTCAAGTCACCACAGTGCTCTTTCAAATAAGGGACCACTTGATATGGAGACATCTGGGAAAGGAAGGTTGAGACAGGGTTTCATGAAGCCCAGGATGGTCTCAAAATCATTATGCAGCTGAGGCTGGCCTTGAACTCTTGATCTTTCTGCTTCTACTGGGATTAAAGGTGTGTACCTCAGTATTATAAAGCATAAATACTAAGTACTATTTTCCTGAGTTCTTATCCCTCAGTATGGATAGGATTCTGATGCCAATACTTA